CCAGTGCAAAGGTCCCAAGGCGCGATATTCTTGGCAGGTGGGGAGCATGAGGAGGAGGCCAGGGTGGCTGCTGTGGAATCAAGGCCACTGGGGTGGGGACGGAGCGCCCCTCCCCCCCCTCCCCGGCCCTGAGCAGCTGAGAGGGGCGAGCCTCCACTGGAGGTGGACGCTGAAGGCCTAGTTCCGGCGACGCCCAGCCCCGTCCTGACATGTCGCGTGTGCCCTGTCCCTGCTGAGTGGCCGCTCGCCTCCCACCTGCCACTTGGCTTCCCGCAGGAGCAGTCAGCCACCGGGGCCCATGGCGCAGTGGGAACTGGGAATGTGGGGCGTGTCCCCTGTCCCCGCTGAGCCTCACCTAGAAACGGGCCCTTCCCAGGAGGGAGGGGGCCAGGGAGTCACGTCTGTCGACGACCAGCCCCGCTGCCTTTCTCGTGCTGTGTCTACTGGCAGAGCTCCTGGCCAGCGGTGGCTCCCGAGCGGCCTGCTGCCCACCCCCCGCCTCCCGGGGGACACTGTGGGATGGGGGGGTATTTTTGACCTTCCGCCCAGCCTGCGAGGCCCAGCTCAGATATCCCGAGCCTCCCCCCAGTAAGTAATTGCCCCCGGGCTCTTTGGGCAGGTCTGGGTGTGTCTGCAGGTGGCCTGCATGCACCACGCCCCCTGTTAGGCTGCCCTCCTCCAGGGCCCCAGCGGGGACTCCGAGGGGACCAGCCGGGGCCGCAACAAACAAGTAGGAGTTGGCGGCAGCAGTGTGGCGACGACAGCAGCCGCCTCTGACTGAGCGCCAGCCACGGGCCCAGCACAGCACCCAAGGAATGGGTAGCGTGCACGGGGCGCCCAGGCTCAGGCAGGGGTGGGGGCGCATAGCCCCAGGCAGAGATGGGGCACCAACCCAGGCCGTCTGGCTTCTGAGCCCGAGCTGGTTTTAAATTCAAATCTTGTTTGTTTTGCAAATAGGTTACCTCTTGTGGGTTGGAGTCCAGAAGGTTCAAAAGTGGGGGGTTGGCCGGCTAGGGCCAGGGACCAACCCCACTGGCTGCCTGTTCTCGTAACTAAGATTTATTGGTGCGCGGCCATGCCTGTTTGTGTGCCTGCAGGCCCTGATGGCTTTCGAGGTACAACGCAGAGTGGGGACATCGAGGCAGAAACTGTGTGGCTCTCGAAAGCTGGGAATGTTTACGGTCGGGCCCTTTATAGGAGCAGTCTGCCCACTGCTGTTCTGAAGAGTTTGCAGTGCAGATAAAGCACACTCCTTACCTCTCCCAACCCCTCCGAGGCTGTGGCTATGGCCATGTCTCCCGCCCCCTCCCCCAGAGACGTCTCTTGCACAGATAAGCAGACGTGCATTTGCACAGACCCCCGCTCGTGACATACACACCGCTCTGCCCCTGCTGTTTCCACTTAACAAAAGCCTCTTAGAAATGACTCCTCATCAGGGCACAAAGGGCTTCTGGATTCTTTATCGTCTGTTTTCATGGTTGCGTAGTATTCCTCGTACAGTGACCCAGAGCGTGTCTTAACCAGACCATGTTGATGGGCATCATTTGCTGCTGTGATTAATGGCCGTGGGCCTCCATCATCCTGTATGTGTGAACGTGTCTGCAGTTGTGGTTCCTAGACTGTAGGGGTGGCTGTCTCTGTGGTTGTGTGTTTGTGGTTTTGATAGATTGTGCTAAGGTGCCCTCCCTAGAGCTTCTCACTCCTACCGGCCACAGCCTCATCAATTTTTATCAAGCGTTTCAATCTCCTCCAATCTTCCAATCAGATGGCTTCTCAATGTAGTTTTAAATTTTTTTAAAATTGAGGTGTAATGTACATGCAATGTGCGCCACAGATATTTTAGTGTGTAGTTTGAGTTTTGACAAGTGGACGTACCCCGGTCACCCGAACACCATGGAACACAGAACATTTCCATCACCGTGATGTTCCCGCGCACCCCTTCCAGGCAGTCCTCAGTCCCCTCCAGAGCTGCCCCTGTTCGGTTTCTGGGCACCGTAGATCAGCGTGGCCTGTTCCAGAAGGTGACGTAACGCAGTGCAGACATGCTTCTTTTCCTCTGCCTTCTGTGGCTCAGCGTGATGGTGTTTACATTTGTCCACGTTGTTGTGTGGATCGCGAGTTTCATTTATTTATTTTTTTATTTTCCTGGTGAGGAAGGTCGGCCCTGAGCTAACCTCTGTGCCCATCTGCCTTTATTTTGTACGTGGGACGCCGCCACAGCGTGGCTTGATGAACAGTGCGTAGGTCCGCGCCCGGGATCCGAACCCGCGCACCCCGGGACGCTGAAGTGGAGCGCGTGAACTTAACCGCTATGCCGCCGGGCCGGCCCCACAAGTTTTGTTTTACTGCATGAGTGTGCTACAGCTTGTTGATCTATCTTCCATCGCCGGTCACTCAGGTTGTCTCCAGTGCAAGGCTGTTAGGAATAAATTTGCCTTGAACCTTCTTGTACAAGTCTTTTTGTAGACATAGTTCCGTTTATTTTGGGGGCAAATACCTAAGAGTGGGACTGCTGGGTTATAGGGTAGGTGTATGTTTTACTTTATTAGGAACGGCCCGACAGCTTTCCAAAGTGGTTGTACCATTTTATATCCTATGGCAGAGAACGCTGATCGCTCCACATCCTCGCCAGTGCTTGGAGTTGTCGACCTTTTCATTTTAGCCGTTTGAGTGGATGTGTCGGGGTTTTAAACCAATCTTGCCTCCCCGGGGCAAATCCCAGGGGCCCTGGATATTTGCTAATATTTTGTTAAGGACTTTCACGTCTGTGTTCATGAGGGATATTCATCTGCGTTTTTCTTTCTTTCTTTCTTTCCCTTTTTTTTTGGTGAGGAAGATTGGCCCTGAGCTAACATCCGTGCCCATCTGCCTCTATTTTGTATGTGGGATGCCGCCACAGCATGGCTTGACGATTGGTGTGTAGGTCCACGCCCGGGATCCAAACCCGTGCCCCGGGCCAACAAAGCGGAGTGTGCGAACTTAACCACTACACCACCGGGCTGGCCCCAGCAGTTCTCCTTTCTTGATGCATATTTTGCAGGTTTTGGTGTCAGGGTTATGCTGATCTCCTAAAATGAGATGAAAAGCGTTCCTTTCTCCTTTATTCTCTGAAAGAGTTTATGTAAAATTTATATGGTTTCTTCCTTAAATGTTTGATAGAATTCACCAATCTGGACCTGCAGTTTCCTTTGTGGAAAGATTTTTAATTACAAACTCAGTTTCTTTAACCGATAAAGAGCTTTTCAAACTTTCTATATCTTTTGGTGCTAGTTTTGGTAATTTGCATCCTTGGAAAGATTTGTCCATTTCATCTGAGTTACTGAGTTTATTGGCGTGAAGTTGTTCGTCCGTTCCCCTATTAACCCAAAGGGTTGTGGGGCTGTACTGTTGTCTGGTTTTCGCTTCTGACAGTTTGTGTTCTCGAGATCTTTTGCTTTGCCGTCTAGCTAGGTGTTTGTCAGAGAGCTGTGGCTTTGTGGGTTGTCTCTGTTGTTGGCTTTCTCTTTCGTAGGCTTCCATTTGTGTCTTGAATTTCCTTCCTTCTAATGACTTTGACTTTAATTTGCTCTCTTTCTAGCTTCTCATGGAGGAAGCATAAGTCATTGATTTTATTTTATTTTATTTTATTTTTTTAAATGAATGAATTAGGGCCAGCCCCGTGGCTTGGCGGTTAAGTGTGTGCGCTCAGTTGCTGGCGGCCGGGGCTCGGATCCCGGGCGTGCGCCGACGCGCCGCTTCTCTGGCCATGCTGGGGCTGCGTCCCACATACAGCAACTGGAAGGATGTGCAGCTGTGACATACAACTGTCTACTATGGCTTTGGGGGAAAATAAATAAATAAATAAAATCTTTAAATGAATGAATTAATTATTTTTGAGGAAGATTGGCCCTGAGCTAACATGTGTTACCAGTCCTCCTCCTTTTTTCTCTCCAAAGCCCCAGTAGATAGTTGTATGTCATAATTGTACATCCTTCTAGTTGCTCTCTGTGGGATGCCGCCTCAGCATGGCTTGATGAGCAGTGAGTATGTCTGCACCCAGGATCCGAACTGGTGAACCCTGGGCCACCGAAGTGGAGTGTGCAAACTTAACCACTGTGCCGCCGGGCTGGCCCCAATAAGTCATTGATTTTGAATCTTTGTCTTTCTTTTTTGGTAGAAGCATTTAAAGCTATGACTTCCCCTCTCGTGACTGCTTTAGCTGCCTCCCCCCAGTTTTGGTGTGTTGTATTTTCTCCTGCAGTTCAGAGCAACTCCTCCCCACGGCTGTGGCTCTCAGTGCAGTTGTAATTGAGAACCAGGAGCCGGCTCTTCACCATCTAGGTCTCCATCCCCTAGCTGACTTTCCCCCGACTTCTGTGCCCAGTGGGTGCTTTGTGGTGGTGAGCGAGGCTCTGTGTGCGCGGTGAGCCGGCCCGCCCTGTGGCTCTTGTTTGGTGCACGTGGAGGTTTGCCTTGTCTCCTTGGCTGGTCGTGAGTGCCCAAGGCAAGACTTCTCTCCAGCTTGTCCCTGTGACCTCCGGCTGTGCCGAGCACTGCACGGACAGGCACGTGCTCACCAGGTGCCCAGGACAGCTGTGTGGGGTGGGGACAGAGCTGTTGCTGGCTCTTACAGACCTGGAGAAAGCAGGCCAGCCCAGGTGAAGCATCTGGCCTGTCTGCACCCGGCCTGTCCGTGCCGCATTCGGCCCGCCCAGCCCTTCTCCCCCGCTGAGCAGTTCTCAGTCTTCAGGAATAGGTGCCCGAACCCTGGAGGGCCGAGTGGCTTTCAGTGGGGGTCTGGGGGGTCATGAGTATTCGCTGAACTGTAGGCTGTGGTGAGCGGCTCCAAGAAGGGCCAGGGTTCCCCCCCAACCACGAATCCCACGTGTCTGGCCGCCCAGGCGGGACTCAGCCTCCCGTGTCCTGCTTCCCAGCCTGAAGAGGGCCAGGCCCGTAGCCGTGACCATGGTGGGTGCCCTCCTGGGGGACCAGACGTGACCCTGACCCCAGCGTGTCTTCAGTTCCGCAGAATAACGAGAAGCTCCAAGAGAGCCCGTGCATCTTCGCGCTGACGCCCAGACAGGTGGAGCTGATCCGGAACTCCAGGTGCGCTGGGCCTGCCCTCTGCGGGGTGCCGAGGGCCGGCCCAGGGAGCCCTCAGCCAGGCCCGTGCAGAGCCCACACGGCGGTGGCGGGAAGGGAATCCCGTGCCTGCCCTGGGCTCAGCGCCTGCCCTCCGTGCGGGGCAGTGTGCCCAGTCAGCGTGCTCTCATGCCTCGGACCTGCAGCCCCAGAGGTGGCCAGCTGTCCCCTTGAACAGGGTCCCCCCGTCGGCACTGCGACGTCAGGCGGGATCACTCGCCGGGGGGCTGCCCTGGGTGCTGTGGGGGGTTGAGCAGCATCCCTGGCCCCACCCACTCGACGAAAGGAGCACCCCCAGTGTGACAATCACAGATGTCCCCAGACATCGCCTGGTGTCCTTTGGGGGCAGGATTGCCCCAGGTGAGGACATGGGGCTGTAACAGATGAGGGACGGAGGCTAGTCCCGGGTCTTCGGCTCTGCTCCCTGAGGCCCTTCTGTCTCCAGCTGAACAGGCGTCACCGCCACAGCAGCCGCGTGTTGGGCACTCGGCACGTGCCAGGCCCTCACCCGCCAGCCCACTTAATGTTCCCGCCAGCTGCCCCCTTGTCCAGGGAGGGGAGGTCATTTTTCCAAGTCACCAGGGAGTCAGTGGCAGGAGAGAACGTTCTAGGTGGCACCCGTCAGCCTTCGGTTGCCAGGGGAGGCAGCGGGTTGGCCCGGCTGGCTGGCCCGGGAGGGGCCCGCGGTCGCCCGGCTGAAGGGGCACTGCTGCCTCCCTGACGCTCCCTTCCCCTCTGGTTCCCCCGGCGCACAGGGAGCTGCAGCCCGGGATCAAGGCCGTGCAGGTCGTCCTCAGGTAAGCCCGGCTGTGCCCGGACCCCGGGCTCCGCCTCCCCGAGCCGGGGTGGCTGCCGCCTTGCCGCGGCGCGCCCCCCACGCGTTGCAGCCAGGCCCCCCTCCCTGCTGACAGCCCCCTCGGGCTCCCCGGCCAGAGGTGCAGGCTGCTCCTCCCGTCTCCCTGCCCTCTGTCCTTCTCCCTGGGCGCCCCGAGACCCCACGCCCAGCCCAGCGCTGAGATCTGCCCGTCAGGCCGGACTGCCCTCCTGGTCTGTCCTCCTGCCCCTGCCCCTGGTCCCTGCAGCCCCACGGTCCCATCATCCTTGCAGAATCTGCTACTCGGACACCAGTGGCCCCCAGGAGGACCAGTACCCGCCCAACATCGCCGTGAAGGTCAACCACAGCTACTGCTCCGTCCCGGTGAGCGCGGTCCCCGAGCGGGTCCCCGGGGGCCCGGCTCTGCCGCGGGGCTGGGTGGAGACTGCGGGACGAGGGGCGGGGGACTGGCAGCGGCCTAAGCGGCATGTCCGCCCCCAGGGCTACTACCCCTCCAACAAGCCCGGCGTGGAGCCCAAGCGGCCGTGCCGCCCCATCAACCTCACGCACCTCATGTACCTGTCCTCGGCCACCAACCGCATCACCGTCACCTGGGGCAACTACGGCAAGGTGAGTGCGGGGGCTGGCTGCCCCTCCCCCGCCCCCCCCGCCCCTCTGCCGGCCCCAGGC